CCCACCTACCTAAGCACCATACGGAAGCAGATGATGTCTGTCCATGGCTTCTCAATCTTGGCCTCCAGTGCTGGCCTGCTGGTCTGCATCTTCTTCCCCAAGTGCTACATCATTTTACTAAGACCACATCTGAATACAAAGGAACAGCTAATAGTGAAAACATAAATCATTCCTATTCTGCATTTTTGTCTCCCATATCATAATTTCTCATAATCCTTTCCTATCTCTAAAAATATTTGTAATAGACTTTAGATTGTATGGACTTCACTTTCTACAATTTGTAGGAATGACCATGCTGGATGGGAAATCTGGGAGTTGAAGTCCATACATTTGTCAAGATTGGCAAATGCTGTTCTAGAACAATCTTTTTCATTGGAGACACAATCTCCACAGTACTGAGAAGTATTTTTTATCTGTTCAGGATAGTGGCTTAACTGTTCTTATGACTAATGTCATTATTACTATTGTTATTACTATTGTCTCTTCTGAAGCATATTCACCAAATGCTAGCAATTTAGGGTCAGATCAAGCTTTGTACCCACTGTAATATATATGTGGTTCCAAGCAAAGCTGTTTTTGTAAACTCAGTGTTATGTTCCATTGTGATAGCTCCTAAAAATACCATAATTATGAGGGAAACTTTCACCGGTTTATTCCAGAATCTCTTTCAGCTCTTAAATTGCAATTTTTTACAAGGTTTTCTCATTACTTTTGAGCTATTTTATAGTGCTTTATTATTTTACTAAGCCCAGATCTGAATACAAAAGAACATTTGATGTCAAAATAAAATAGAAAAGTGATTTTTAAGCACATATTTTTAACTCAGTGTTCCTTAAACAAGCAAATCACCAAATACTGTTTTTTTTAAGTCATAAGAAAAACAGGCTACCACTTTTAATTAGTAAGATTTCCCTCTTTTTTTTTTTTATGCTGAGTGTATAGAAAATTATGCAGGCGTATATGAATATGTGGAAAAATTCTGAACAGATGCAACAGGAGTTTTCCAGTTTTCTCCAGGTAAATAAAGAGGTTTCTCCAGGTAAAAAAAACTCCAGGAGTTTTCCACTATTCTCTCCAGGTAAATAAAGAAGTTTGATTGCTGTAACCACAGGTCATAACAACATAGCATTGCAGAAAATACAATACAATACAATACAATACAATACAATACAATACAATACAATACAATACAATACAATACAGTACAATAATAAAAAGTAGGTTAGATTCAAAGAAGTCGAAACAAAATAAAGCCAGGGCTATGATGAAATTTCAATATTTCTTTCTAAGTTTAAATGACAACAAAGCAAAAGTAGGAATCTGAGAATACACAGTTGGAAACATCTGCAAGAAGATAATTCAGTTATTCGAAGTCCAAGCCCTTGAATTCACCTATCTTCAATACTTCGGCCCTCATCCCATCATAAATGGGGCAGTGGAGGAAGTCGTGGACAACATCCTCCATTTGACCAACAGCACAAGGACAGAGATGGTGTTCAGCAGGGCACTTACAAAATCTCTCTTCAATATGCAAGCAAAGGGATGACAAATCCTTTCTCAATGGGGCACTCATCATATTAACCAAGAACAAATAAAGCTTCTGTTTTTTACAGCGATGAAACCAAGATGAACATTTGGATGACTCTACTGTAGTAGCATTTTTATTGGCATCTCTTTCAAAAAAACTGTCCCTAAGGTTTTCTCTGTTCCAACACCTGGATTCCCCCAAAAGGGGTAGGGTTTGTTCCATTGATTCCCAGCTATGGAATGGAGAAAGTAAAGTCTGGGAAGGTGGGATTCCTGAAGGTGTTCTGGTTGCTTATCTTGCCCCAACAATGCAAGGGGTCCTCTAACAGATATGAAAAGAAACCTGTCAGGTCCAGCCCAAGAACAACAGGGAAACAGTCCAACCAAATTCAGTTCTTTTATTGCTTACACCATATAGACAAAATCTTGCCAGACTAAATCTGTACTATTGCAAGTAGTGGATGTACCTTGGAAGTGGTTCTTACTTCTTACACTTCTTACTTCTTACACTTCCTACGCTCCTGCTCCAGACTGTGTTGTCTCTTGTCTCTCTGCCTTTCCTGGAATCCACCCCCTCCTTCCTGAGAACCTTGCTCTGTCCTGCAATCCACCACAAACCCTACCTCTATCCTTAGATAAGCAGCAGGGCAGCCCTTGGGAGTCCCAAAATCTTCCCTATGAAGTTCTTTTGGAAGTTCTTACTTCCAATCAGGTGTGGAATCAAAACGCAGGACACAAAGGCAAAATAATCAAGGCTTCACTGCAGATATATTTTCCTCATTTTCCTCACACAGGTAATAACCTTCTTATGCCACCTGCAGATCTCAGCCCTATATAACATCTGGGCTACCACCTTGCCCTGGAGTATTTCAAGTGCAGGGCTAACAGTTGTCCTATTTTGGAATAGAAAAACTTCAGAATTCTCTCCAGGTCAGCTGCATAAAGCCCTGGATGAAATGGATTATGTGGGCTCTTTCTGGTTGGGCTTTGGCCCTGGTTTTAGCACTGAGACTGCCTTGTTTCCCCTGGGAATAGACTTGGAAGGATCCGGATAGGGGAGTGCGACCCTCTTGGCATTTCTTGGTCTTTCAGAGGCTTTTGATATCATCAATTATGGTCTCCTTCTGGACTGCCTTTGAAGACTGGTTGTGTACTACAATGCTTCTCCTACTTCTTGAGGGGGCAGATCCAGCCATTGGTTGTGGGGAGTAAAAGGCCAAACCAAAGCCCCTCAATTATGAGTTGCTTTGCTATGGGGCTCAATTCACTCCTCTTCAACATGAAACCCCTGGGGAAAATCTTCTGTTGACATGGGCTCAAATTAGTTTCTTGGCCTGGGCTCAAATCCTTGGTAGTGGTTCTTCCTCTTGTCCTTCAAGGCCATTCCCTCCATTCCTCTACATCTGTAATGACAACATTACAACATCTGACAACATCTACTGTATCATGCATCTGTTGATGATCCTCAGCTTTACATCCCAATGCTATTCTGAACAAGATGGTCTCCCAGAGCCTGGAAGCTCTTAGGGTCCAGATGAGGAAGCATGAGCTTGGGATCAATCATAGCAAAGTAGAGTGCCTTGGGTGAGTGTAGGAGAATTTTGCAAATCTTACCTTTGAATCAGAAACCAGGACACAATTACATTGGAATTCAAATTGGTTTATTGACAATGCTGGAGACAGGCCAAAAGAAGGGTAGGGTTACATTTCCTCTCTATCAACTTATGCAAAATAGAATATTCAGATGATTTGGTACAGCAGCAAAGTGTTTGATTTTCTATAGTGCATTAGGTATCTACTGAGGTTGGTGAGGCCATTAGGAGATAGCTATGAGGCCATGGGGCAGGACTACAAAGACAGTGGGGGTTTTGAAGGAAGAAAGAGGCAGAATGTCATGGATATCTTTTCTTTCAGAAGAGTTCCTGTTATAAGGCTTATCACACTGTCCTTGCTTCCCAGAGTCTGTGTCTGGCTCTTGGGATCTTCTCCCAGCCTCTCATCATTCCTTGT